TTCCAAAGTCCTTCAAAGAACCTTCACATCTGCTTGTCTTCTTCATCCCTCTCCTAGGCCTGCCCCTTCTCCCACATGACCCACTGTTTCAGAAAGTGGGAAACAATGAAGTCACCCTTCCAGGGTGAGTGGGGAAGGCTGGATGAACAGAAAGCCTGCCTACCCTTCATCCAAGGCAGTCTTCTAGCCCTCGATAGTACTGTGTTTCTGACTGTCATAAGAGAGAGACAACCAGATGAGACACCCATAAAAGTCTCTCATTCTTAGTCTGTTTTGTCATTATCAGCAATGAACATTTACTTTTTGTTCCTTGAATCCTTAAAATAATTCTAGCATTTATACAGCACTTTAAGATTTGCAAAGCACTTTACAAATATCTTATTTGAGCTTCACAACAACCCTTGGAGGCAAATGCTATTTTTACCCCCATTTTGCAGATGAGTAAACTGAGGCAGAGGTTAAGTGACCTGCCCAGCATCACACAATTACTAAGGTCTGAGGCCAAATTTGAACCCAGATCTTCTCGATTCCAAGCCCACTGCTCTACCCACTTCGCCACATAGCTGTCTTCCCTTTGGCTCAATACAGAATCATTTGGGCTTTCTATTTGTTATCATGCTTTTTTTCTTAATTAGTCAGCAACGTCCTAAGAACCCTGCTGAACTCAAGAGACAGGAAAGACCTGGGTTCAAAGCTTACCTGTAACCCACACTAATTGTACAACCCTTGAGAAGTCACTTAACAGTTTCCTCATTTGTAAAGTAAGAATAGACTATGTGGAGTGAGAAGTCAAATGACAGAGTCTATCGACAGCTGGCCTGGCAAGCAGGAAGCCTGGGTTCAAATCCTGATTCTGACACCTACTGGCTGCATGACCCTGGGCAAATCTCACAATCACAAACTCTCAGTCAGAGTCAATAAGCATTTATTAAAAGCTAATTATGTGCCAGGCACTGTGCACCCAGTGCAAAGCACTGGGGAATAAGAGAAGGACAAAAAAGTCTCTGCTCACAATCTAATATGGGAAACAACAAGCAAACATGTACAAACAAGCTATATACAGGATAAATAGGGAATGAGAGAGAAGGCTCTGGAATTAAGATGGCTTGGGAAAAGCTTTCTACAAAAGGTGGGATTTTAGTTGAGATTTAAATGAAGCCAACAGGTAGCAATGAGAAGGGAGAATATTCCAGGTAGGGGAACAGAAAGAGAAAACATCTGGAGCTGAGAGATAGAGGGTCTTTTTTGGGAAATAGCAAGCATGTCAGGGTCACTGAATCAGAGACTATGTTGAAGTGAATAGGTGTAACAAGATCCAGTGTTACTGAATCAAAGAATTGTGTCAGAGTGTAAAGGTGGAGAAGATGGAGGCCTGAGTTATAAAGGGCTTGGAATGCCAAACAGAGAATTTTGTATTTGATCCTGGAGGTGACAGGGAATTTAGTGGAGTAGGGGAGTGACCTGATTGGGCCTTCACTTTAAGAAAATCAACTTTGTCAACTGAATGGAGGATGGATTGGAATGGGCAGAGACTTGCAGCAGACACCCACCAGCAGGCTATTGAAATAATCCAGGCATGAGCTGCTGAAGGCCTCCATTAGAGTGGTCAAAGTGTCAGATGAGAAAAGGGGGCATATTCGTGAGATGTTGAAGAGGTGAGATCAACAAGCCTGGGAACAGATGAGAGACAGTGAGGAGCCAAGGATATATGGTGCCCTCAACTATAATATGGAAGTCTGGAAGTGAAGGAGGACTTAGGTGGAAAGATAATGAGTTGTTCTGAACATCGTGAGTTTAAGATGTCTACTGCACATCTAGTCTGAGATGTCTGACAGGCAACTGGAGATACAAGATAGGGAGTCAGCAGAGGTGGGGGCAGGAAAGGTGGATTTGAGAGTCAGTGTAGAGATGGTAATTAAATCCACAGAAGCTGTTGAGATCACCAAGTAAGGTAGAAGACGGCCCAGGCCAGAGTCCTGTGGGACATCCACAGTTAGTAGGCAGGATCTAGATGAGGATCCCACAAAGGAGACAGAGAAGACACAGTTAGACAGGCAGGAGCAGAACCAGGAGAGTGGTGTCCTGAAAACCTAGAGAGGAGAGAGTATCCAGAAGAGAAGGGGGATCCAATAGTGTCAAAAGTTGCAGAGATGCCGAAGAGAATGAGGATTGAGAAAAGGCCACAGCAGTTCCAGGAGGCCAGTCTTGAAGGCCACTAAGACTCTACATTGCAAAGAAGGTGCCAGCCCTACATTAGTAGAGAATTCATCATCAAAAGCACCCTATACCATTGACAGCAGAGGTCCAGGCCCCATCCGTAGTCACCTCAGGGTTGTTGTGAGGACCTGTAAATCATTTCTGTGAACCTTAAAGCACAGTTAATATTAGTGGATTATTATTATTAATGGGATGGGGAGATAAGCATCACTTTATTGTTGAGAGACTGGCTATACATTCCAGGCCTTTGCTGTGATTGATTCTGTGCTCCCACATGATGGCTCATAAGTGATACTAATGAACATGTTCAAGCATCTGGTTTTTTTCTTAAAAACCATGCCTTCAACTCAAAGATAGAAGATAGAGGGAAGGAAAAGAACATGACATGTTTGGGACACTGTGAGTAAAAGTTTGATTTATGTAGAAGAGTAGAAAGGCAAGAAAAAACAGGATTCAGATTGTGGAGGGCCTAAAGGAGTTTGGACTTATAGGTGTGTGGGCAGTGGATAATTATTGAGTTTTTGAGGATTTCTCAGGGACAGAAGTTTTGGTAAGAAGATGAAAAAGATTGTTGCCAAACAATATGAAGCCAAAAGCTTTGGTACAGATGAGTCTGTAAATACTAGTTGAGGAAACATGAAAATGATAAAGTTTGGGGTCAGCATGTTCTCCTTGAGGAAAGGATTATGCTTTTATTCCCCATTGTGGGCCTCTCCCTCCTCCCATCAGCTTGAAAAATAAAATAAATTATACTTATATGAAAGCTCCTAGAGTCAGCAACTAAGTTTCCCCTTTGGATCCGAAGCACTTAGCACAGTACCTGGCACATAGTAAGCTTCATTGATGGACAAGTGATTTAAACTTTGCAAAAGCATTCTACATATATTATCCTGGCTCTAATTTTTATTAGATAGGTGACCTTGGACACATGATTGAACCTCATTTTCCTCTTCTGTAAAATGCGGAATGTAGCCCATGTGAGGGCAATATCTAATTCTAACTCTGATCCTATGATCTCATTTGAGGCTCGAAAGAAGACAGGAAGGTGCAACAAGTATATCCCATTTCACAAGGAGGAATCCTAAGCATCACCACCAGGATTGAGCCTACATAGTTGACTCAAATTCCACCATCGCTTCACAAGTACAAATGTTGAACAAATACATCACTAACCAAATCAATGTCTGTCTGTCATCCCTCCACTCCTCACACAGATTTTCTTAGTTCCAATTGTGTATCCCTACACAGCTTTTCTATAAATAAGCCTTTCTATTCTTTGGTTGTCTCTGAAAGGTCGAGATGCTTAGGAAGGTTAGGGTTACTTCGATGAATGGAGCTTCTGGAATCTCTTCATTACATCTTCGGGACAGCAGTCCAGAAGACAGGGTCTGTCTGCACTACCCACTAATGGCTGACTGATATCATTTAATTACTTATTTATTTGCTTTTTAAATTTAAATTAATTACTTGTTTATTTCTTATTATCTAATTACTTAATAGGTGCCGGCCCGGCCCGGTGCTAGGGGCTGGGATTCGCAGCCCTCAGGGAGGTCCCGGTCCGAGGGGGCGGGACAGATAACAGTCTGGGGTCTGGGCTGCTCTCCCTGACTCCTGTTAGGTCTGTTACTGCACAGCGCTCTGGGGGGTCTTCAGACCTTGGGAGCTGGTGATTAGCCATTTAGAGGGAAAGGATCCGGCGCTTCCAAAGCTGCAGCGCTAACCGAGACTGTGGAATCTGTTCTAAATTTTTGGTTCTCAATTTTTTTGGGGGGGGGACAACGGGTGATTTTTATTTTTAGAAGTCAAACAAGAGTAGCTCTAAAAACTGTGGAGTTGGCCGTGGAAGGGCCCTTTGGGGATTCTCTAATTAAATCGGCCAGTTTTATTCATTAGGAAATGGCTTCGGAGAAGGAACGTGATTTTGCCTAGGGTCACGCCTGGGTAACAGCACAGGGGGATGAGCATCTAGGTCTTCAGACTCGCGGTTCTTTCCTCGACAAGCCCAGAACGCCTCCTCAAACCCAGAACACGGCCCCAAAGCAAATCCCGGAAGGTCTTGGGGCGAGGGACTCAGGTGCGGGCGCGCCCCCTCGGCAGGGGGTCTCGGGGGCGGATCCCGACCACCCGGGGTTCCTCTTTCCGGCGGGCGGCCAGAAGAAGCGAGATGCCCCCAGGCCCCCGGCAAGGGCCCCCTCGGCTCCCTCCTTGCCACTCTCGGGAGCGGGGCAGACCAGGCCAGGGCTCCGCCCCCCAGAAAGAGGGGACCCCTGCGACCCAGGCCCGAGAGGTGGGAGGGGGGAGCATCTCAAGCTCCTCCTTCCTTCCAGGACCCCCGCCCTTGGCCCGCCTCTAAAAGAGCCTGAAGCGGAGCCCGGGAGCGCAGCCTCCCCTCAGTCCCCGAACCGCTCCGGCCTCCTTTCCTGCGGCCCCTCAGGCACGCATGGACCGCGCCTGCGGTAGCGCACGCGCACCGCTTCCTCTCCGCGCTCCCTTCCCCCCACCCCCAACCTCCGCTTTAGAACCGTAACGGTCGGTAGGCCGGCTACGCGTCTCACCGTCCTCGCGACCCGCCGCTGCCGCCAGCGCCATCTTCTCCCCGCGCCCAGCCGGCCCAGAGGCACGCGTCGGAGGGGGCGGGGTAAGGTTTACGGGAGGTCCCGCCCCTGCCTCGTGAGGCCACGCCCACCGGAGGGTTGGCGAGGAAGCACGTACGTGTCGTCGTCGGAGGCGGGGCTAAAGGGAAATCCCAGCGTGCCCCGGGCGAGGCCAGTAAGCCCACGACGATGGAGGCCGGTGAGGCGTCCGCCGTGCTGCGGGTGAGGCGGAAGCGCGGCGCGGATCCCGCCGAGGCGCTCGTCCTCACATGTAAACGGCTGCGGAGCGGGGCCTCCGAGGAGGGGGCGGGGGCCGCGGGACCGGGTCCCGTGGAGGAGAACGTCTTCAAGCTGGCGGCGACCGTGTGCTCCCAGGTAGCGGCTCCGGGCTGGGGAACGGCGAGCCGGGCAGGACAGGTCATTTCGGCCATCCCCCAGCCTCCGGCCGCCGAAGCTGGGGAGCAGGCAGCCGCCAAAGGCAGGAGGCCTGGGCTCAGTTCTGCCCCCGCCGCCTCTGGGGTCTGAGCCTCAGTTGCTTCATCTGAAAAATGGGGGTCATCGTGCTTACAGAGCCTAGCCAACTGGTTCTGGGAAAGCATTCCAGAAATGGAAGCAGGGGATTTTTCGGTCCAGTCTCCTCATTTTACGCATGAGGAAACTGAGGACTAGAGAAGAATAGGGATAATCAATATATAAGTAGGAACGATTCCGAGCCCATTTTACATTTGGGCGGTTGCAGGGGCTACTTAATTACACAGAATGGAAATAATTTTGCATGAACAAAATTGGCACAGCCAGGGTAAGAAGAGAAACTGTGGCTGGGACAGAAAATCTTGGCATTGAATATCTCAAATAAAGGCCTTATGACCCGAGTCATGGGAAATATACCTAAAAAGACCAGTTATTCCTCCATAGATAAGTGGTCTTTAAAGGGTCTGAATAGTTCTCCAAAAGGCCCACTGCAGACTATTAACAGCTGTCTGAAAGGTTGCACAAATCACTGATAATAAGAGAAAAGCAAATTAAAATAACACACAAAAGATGACAAAAGTCAGAAGTAGTCAATGTTGGAATGCCTGTGGGAAGAAGGGAACTGATTGGGTGGACCTGTAAATTGGTCCAGCCACTGTTGTGAGCAATTAGGAATTGCATTTTTAAAATGACCAAAGAGTTCACACCTTTTGACCAGATAAACATCCCAATGCTTGGCATATACTCTAAGGAGGTTAACAGAAGTCAAGTCGTATATAAATTTGGAACTATGCCCAAAGGGCTATAAAAATGTTCATACCCTTTGACCCAGCAACAGCACTTCTAGGGGTATATCCCAGAGAGATCATACAAATGGGAAAAGTATAAAAATATGTGTTATAGCTCTTTATGTGATGGCAAAGAATTGGAAATTGTGAGGATGCCCATCAATTGAGGAATGGCCAAACAAGTTACGGTATATGAATGTAATGGAATACTCTTGTATTACAATATGAAATGGTGAGCAGGCAGATCTCAGAAAAACCTGGAAAGACCTGCATGAACTGATGCTGAGTGAAGTGAGCAGAACCGGGAGAACATTGTACACAGTAACAGCAACACTGTGCATTGATCAACTATGACTGACTTAGCTCTTCTCAGTAATACAATGATCCAAGACAATTCCAAAAGACTCAGAATGGAAAATACTATCCACATCCAGAGAAAGAACTATGGAGTCTGTGTACAAGTCAGAGCGTACTATTTTCTCTTTTTTTGTTGTTTTTTGTTTTTCCCTTTTGTTCCGATTCTTCTTTCACAACATGACTAATGTGGAAATGTGTTTAATATGATCATACATGTATAACCTATATCAGTTTACATGGCCTCTTGAAGAGGGGATAGTGGAGGGAAGGGTGAAAATGTAGAACTCAAAATCTTATAAGAGCAAATGTTGAAAACTAAAAATAAATTTTTAAAAATAGTAATTTATGTGTAACAGCATCATGAACATAAAAAGAAAAGTCATACATAACAGAATACTTGTCAGGCACTGCCTGGAAAACTGGAAACATAGTTGGTACCCATCAAGAAAATGGATAAATCATAGTTTACGAACATAATCGAATGTTATTGTACTGTAAGAAAAGACAAATACAAGGGATTCAGGAAAACTAGATGCAGAGTGAAGTAAGCAGAAATAGGAAAGCTGTAAACTGAACTGAACACAGCGTGATTATAATAGCTAATCTTGACGTCCAGGAAGGAAAGAAATAGATCTCTTCCCTTTCAGTGGAATAGTGAGGGACCATGAGGGTGGAATGTATACAGTACTGTCAGACTCACATGATAGGTCAGCAGTGCTTAGCTGTTTACTGTTTTTTGTTAAAAAGGAAGGCTAGGCTCACTGAGGAAGGGCATGACCTGAAACAACTATGACAATCATAAAAAACAGCAACAATGCTTTAAAGAAAGAAGCTACATGACTTTGGAGTCTGAAAACCTGAGTTCAAGTGTGACTGTCCCTTAAGCTTATTAAGCCTCAGTTTTTTCACCTACCTCTCTTCAGTGTTCACAAGCCTCCACTGTGTCATCTGTACAATGAGAAGGTTGAACTGGAGGATGTCAAGGGTGCTTCCAGCCCCATCATTCTTTATATCCTGGTTGCTTCTGTCTCATTTTCTTTCCTCTCTTCCCTCCTAGGATGAACCTGTTCAGAAGTATGTCAGAGAAGCCATCACCAAAGAGAAAGCCACCAGAGCCCTGACTCCTTCGCTGGAAAGTCATCAGAGAATCCGTCAGGATCTCCTCGCTGCAAAGCTGGTGACTCGGCAGGATGACCGCTACCGCCTGGTCTCCAAATACCGGGCCCCCTGTGCGGAGGGAGAAGCAGCCCTGCCAGCTGGGAAAGCTGCCAGCAGGGCTGAGAGGAACGAGCTAGGCTCTGATGGCACCAAACAGATGTCACACAGAGGAGGCAGTTCGTCCTCTGCAGAAGAATTCCAGCTGTTTGACATCGTTCACGAGGACGCTGCTGAGAAAGAGGCTGTCTCAGTTCCGGCCACCTGTTCTGAGGTAAAGTGCTCCAAGACGGCACTGTTTTGTTGTTTAGTCGCGTCTAACTCTGTGAGCCCACTTTGGGATTTTCTTGGCAGAGATACTGGAGTGCTTTGCCTTTGATTTCTCTGGCCCATTTTACAGATGAGGATACTGAGGCAAACAGAGTGAAGTAGCTTGCCCAAGGTCACCCAGCTAGTAAGTGTCTGAGGCCGGATTTGAACTTAGGTCTTCCCGACTCCAGGCCCTGTGCAGTGCTCTGTGCACTATGATGCCACCTCCTAGTTCTCATTTGGTAAGGAGTGTTTTAAAGCTTACAGGGGACTTTCCTCCCCCCAGCCTGGTGGAGTGGGCAGTGCAAGTACAGTGATCCCCTCTTCATAGATGAGGTGACAGAGATTTGGAGACAACAAATAAATTGCCATAGTCACACGGGCCACATGAGAGCTGGGATAATGGAGGGGATAGGACAGAGAACTTCCAGTGTGTGTCAGAACTCATGTTGACTCAAGAACTGATGCTGCATTAAGGACTGGGGCAGAAGCCCAAAGCACGGAGAAATTACTCCGATTCTAAACCTCAGTTTCACGCTCTGTACACAACGGTGGGTACTCTTCCAGCTGTTGGACCTTGGACAGTTACAGTAATACACTTATGTTAACATTTTACGTTTTGCGAAGTACTTTCCTCATAACGACCTTGAGAATTAGATACTATGAGTACTGAAATGGCATTTTACACCTGAGGAAACAGAGGCCTCAAGGTTCTAGCTCCACAATTCTTATTCTGTGAATAAATTAAACTTTGTTCTTATTCATGTTGGTCTTATTTTCTACCCTTCTTCCTCATCCTGTATTCTTGCTGTTTGATTATGCTTCAAGAGATGTTGTTGCTGATGTTGAGTCTCGTCTGACCCTTTGTGACCCCATTTTGGGTTTTCTTGGCAAAGATACTGGAGTAGTTTGCCATTTCCTTCTTCACTGGATTAAGGAAAAACAAAGGTTAAGTGATTTGCTCAGGGTCACACAGCTAGTGAGTATTTGAGGCAGGATTTGAACTCAGGTCTTCCTGACTCCAGGCCCAGCATTCTATCCACTGAGCCACCTAGCTGCCTTCAAGGCAAACACATTAAGCGACTTGCCTAAGGGTCATACCACTACTGAGTGTTTGAGGCAGGATTTAAATTCCATGACATGTTAGATGACATCTGGGCCTGATACTCCTGCTGCTTAGGGGCTGCCACAGGGTCAGGCCCATTTCAGGGACCAGAGTGGCTTTTCATTGTCACCCTTGCCCTCCTGCCCCAAGGGCACAGAAGCAACAGAGGACCTCAGGCCAGGGTTGAAGGTTTTTTTTTTTCATTCCCCAATCCAAAGAGGGAAACAGTACTCTTGGGTGTTGGCAAGTTGGGTCTTCATGATATGGCCCTCCTCAGTTGTGGCTACCTGCAGTTTTGTTTTTTGTTGTTTTTTTTTTTTGTCGTTCCCCCCCCCCCCCAGTATGAGCAAAGTTTCAAAGAGAAGGCTACTTTTGTAGTTGTCATTCCTCCTGTGCATTTTGACCTTGTGTCTTGGGCTGTGGCCACTTCAGGAGTGTGCTGTGATAAACCCAGTACATAATGGCGGTAGTCATCGTTGTGAGCCTTAACATACAGAATCTGGGCAGTGACAAGGCCCAAATTCAACAAAGGACTTTTCTAACTCGGTTTGAAAATTCAGGGTACTCCCTTCGTTGTGAAATGAGTAGTCATCACTAGCCAAGCTTGGCTCCAAAGAAGAGATAGGAGAAGACACCTCAGAATTAGGGACAGAAGCGATGGAAGCATGAGTGTGGCATGCTGCATATTATGTTAGCACTTTCTAATAAGTTGTTAGTTTTACTTTCTTTTTTAAAAATAGCTTGTTATTTTTCAAGTATCAAATATTTTTTATTGCTCTGTTCCCTTCCCACCCCCATTAAACAAAATTTTCTTTATTGAAAACAACCCAAAAAAATCCCTCAATACGTAGCCACATAACTGAAAAATTAATTCCTACATTGGTTGTATCTAAAAATGTGTCTTTTTATTTTAAGCTCATCATCTTTGCAGGAAGTGAGTGGCATGTTTCATTTCCATTCTTTTGTACCTCATGGTTTATCATTTCATTAATCAGAATTCTAAAGTCTTTCTCTGTCATGTTATCAGTATATAAAATTGTTCTAATTCTGCTCACTTTGCTCTGCATCAATTCATAAAGGCTTTCTTTCCTTTAAAAAAAAAATTCATTGTTATAAGGGATCATCTCTTAGAGGGGCTGGAGAAAGGGATACAACGAGATGTAGGTAATGACAAGAGGTAGCAATAAAACTTTGTTCTATAAAATAGAAACATGTAGTTTGCTGTGGAAATTAGAACCATGGGAAAGATAATGGAACAAAAAATCATAATTCCCTTTATATTTCCAGGATGAAATGGTAAATTCTATATGGTTGTCCACTTTGGTCTGTTGAGCTTCTTGGCAAATTACCTATGTTACCTATAGTCATTCCTTTGTGTTTTCCTAACAGAAATCTGACCCAGATGTGATACTTTGTAATTCAGTAAAGATGATCCGTGAACGGCTAGCCATCTCCAAGGACGGAAAAGGAACGGAGCACCGAGAGGAGGACAATTATGTCTATGACATTTACTACATGGAGACATCTACCCCAGGATGGATTGAAAGCATCCTCTCTGTGCAGCCCTACAGTCAGGATTGGGAGCTGGTAAGGCAGGCCTCGGTAGGCCCTGAGAGCAGGGGTCACACTCAGAATCACAGAAGGGGAGTCAAAGGGCATCTCAGCATCCACCTGGACCGGCCTATCTGCTGTAGGCTGCAGACCTGCACAGATGAAGTGCCTCTTGGGACAGCTCACATGGCTGGGCCACTCACCCTCAATTTACCAAAAAAAATCTAGTTCTTCCTCCTATGACCACCCTCCTCCAAAATGCTTAAAGGCATCATGTTCTCCCTGAATCTTTCTTTTTTTCCTCGGGTTTAATGTGCCTAGTTCCTTCACCCAATCTTCATAGAGAAGGAACCTGTGGAGGTGGGTTATTTTCCAGTCAGTACCTATTGAGGCTGCTAGGTGGTGCAGTGAATGGAGCCCTTGGCCTTAAGTCAAGAAGAGTTTCAGTGAAGCCTCAGACACTTGGAGCCATGTGACTCCAGGCAAGTCAAAGTGTTACCTCCTTCTGCCTCAGTTCCATCATCCACAAAATGGGGACAGTAATGGCACCCAGCTCCTAGGTTTGTTGTAAGGATCAAAGGAGATCATATTTGCAAAGTGCTTTGCAAACCTTAAAGCACTATCTAATTACTAGCTATTAGTATACTCAGTCCCTCCAGTAATGATTTGCACTTTAAATGTTTGTTTTTACTTATCTTTCCCTAGGTTTGTAACAAAACCTTTATTTTGGATCATCTGAAAAGACTTGTGGAGAAGCATTTTTGCAGTTCAAAACTGTAGTCTTTTTTGTCTTTCTTGCACTTGTCTTTCAGTATTCTGAGAAAAGAGCCATAGGCTTCAGGAGATTGCCAGATGGGTCCATGACATGAAAAAGGCTAAAGAACCCCTGGTCTGGTCCAACATTCTCATCTCACAGATAGGGGAACAGACTCTGGGGGAAATGGCTTGTCTGAGGTCACAGAGCTAATAAGTAGGAAGGAGCAGGATTAAAATCCAAGTCCTCTGACCTCTCCCTTCCCCCCCCAGTGCAGCAGTGCTGGTTTTTGCTGTGCTTCTCTGTTTGGGTCATGTAACCTGCTTTTCCAAAACAGATGGTAGTTTGTGATTTGTTAGGACTCTGACTGTGATTCCTCTTTGTATTGAGATAAACAGGTAGCTGATGATCATCAAGCCGAGGAGATTGATGATGATGATGATGATGATGAGAACAGTGAGAATCACTGGCGTAACGAGTACCCCGATGAGGAAGAAGGAAGCAGTGACAGAGAGAGCACCCGAGGTAATCATAGTAGGAGTTCACATTGAACGTAACACTTTGATTCATTCCATCAGCTAGCATGTATTAATTGCCTGCTCTGTGCCAGGCACTGTGCTAAGCACTGGGGATAGAGATAGCAGGGCTAGATAGTAGTGGTTAAAATACCACTGACTGTGTGACCTCAGACAAGTCAATCAATCAATATTTATTAATTACCTACTATGTGCCACTGTGCCAAGTGCTGGGGATACAGCATTGGGGGAGGGGGGAAGGGTGTGCAGAGTCAGAGAAATCCCAAGGTAATTCAACCAAGGTGAGAAATGAAGAGATGTCTGAGCTGAGTTCTCTCTTAAATGGAGGCTCTGAGGGACATTTAGGTGGCACGGTGGATCGGCCCTAGAGTCAACAGGATCCAAGTTCAAATCCGGCCTCAGACACTTGACACTTACTAGCTGTGGGACTTTGGACAAGTCACCTAACCCCATTGCTGAGCAAAAAGGTTAAAAAAAAATTGGAGGCTCCAAATTCATGGCCCCAATCAGAGAGGGAGAAGGTGCTAATGAGGTGGAATACAGGGGCTGATGGGATTCTACAACATGATGAAGTTTTTGAATTAAATTATAAGGCCTTGAACTTTGTAGAGCAAAGTCCTGGTTTCTATTTCTACAGTGAGAAGGAAGAAATGTGTATAGCATAGCATTCTCACAGCCTGGTCATCTACGGATACCTTCAAAAAAAAAGATGTCACAAGTGCCTGGTTCATCTGTTCTCATTCTTTTTCTAGGGTCTGATGAAGAATATGGCAGCTTTAGTGACGAGGAAAGCATCATCAGACCAAGGAAATGGAACAAATATCCCTATGATGTGCTAAAGGAGTTTGAGTACGACAGCTCCCAGGACTTCGATTCAGACTGAGGACTGCTCAAGCGTTCACCAGTTGTTTGGGACGAGCCCTTTGGTGTCTCTGACTATAGACATCAGCCTCTTTGCTGCTGACTCTGCCCCAGAGTGTTATAACCTACCTGGAAGGGGAAAGGGGGGGAAAAAAGTCTCTGGGGATGTTCAGCTCTGGGGTCAAATTCTGGCCTCCAGACAATTTTGTGCTACTGGGAAAGGAAAAACCTAAGATAAATCGGAGTTCCTTTGCCTCTAACTGCAGTATTGCCCATTGGTATGGGAAGAAAATCCTCTTTCACCCGATACTGCCGGAAAATATTTTCCTTTCCCTACACTTTACTTTAGCACTTTGTTTAATCTGAAAGATTTTCCCCTTCCATGTGAAGAATTGACTTTGCATGTTCAAATCTACAGCATTCCTATGGCAAAAAAAAGGTAATTTTTGAAGCCAATGAATAAAGAAAGAGATGTCGCTAATGTGTTTCATGTGAAAAGGTTGGTCTTCCCTAACCTCTGCCCTGCCACAGAAGGCGGGTCCTGCTTCATGCTGCTGAGTGAGGCATTTCTTCGGAAGCCTCTAGAGTTAGAGGCGAAAACACTATGAAAGGCTGCACTGACAAATACGCTTCATCAACACAGGAAGACAATGCATATGTGTTCACTAAGGTGGTTTCTGGTTGCAAAAACCTGCAAGTGTTAAAAAAGTGAAAAGACTCCATGTTGGTATTTTCCCCCATTTTCCATCTGTGGCCTTACTTTGATCCTGCTTATAGAGTTGGGAGTCCTTTGACAAATGCCAAAGGAGCTGTGTGTGTATGTATGTGTATGTGAATTTGATGCACTGATTGTATTAAAAAATTGTTCTGGAACGTGGAAGAAAATGCTTTCTTAAATGTTTGTTAGACTCTTCATTGTGGGTCATGCCACAACCTCTCCTTCCCTAGCACTGGCAAAATTAACTTTATTTACTTTGGAGTGAAACAGCAATGATCAAGTCTGTGGTCCTGGTTTTGCTTTCCCTTGAGAAAGGTTGCTGGGGAGCTCTCACCAAAGGGAAAATCACAACAGAAACAGTGGTTTTATAACCAGAAGTTGTGTAATTACAAGTGAACTTATCAAATCCCCACTTTAAAACCACAGCTGCCTTTATTCCAGTTTGAGTCAAAGCACCATCGAATGTAAGAATTGGAAGGAGCTACATAGACTTCTCTGGTCCAAATTCATTCTGCAAAGAAAACAATCCCAGCAAGCAGACATGACTGCCAGATTGCACAGGCTAATGGCAGAGCCTGGATTCAAATCCAGGTCTGACTTCAATCCATCGCTCCCCAGATAAAAGGTACAAATTGCCTGGCTAAGAAATGCTCATCAGGATAGAAACTTCATACATCTAGACAATTGGGCCATAACTGAGGAACCTGACTTGGACAGAAGCTTTCTTCCTGATGTCTTTTTTCTTGGTCTCAGAGGCAGCCCTTGCTCTGCCCAAATTTTTTTCATTAATTTGCTACAGGATGGTAATAATTCAGGAATTAATCTCAGTTAATAAATATGTCGGAACTGCCATTAGCTTTGTAAATTCTGTAGGGGAAGGGGCGAGAACATGTTTCAATTCTGAGGCTTTCATACCGTCAAGATGGAAGTATGCATCTTTATTAAAGAAGTGAAACCAGAGATTAAAATTCTTTTTCTTCTATTACTCCCAATACTGAGCAGTGGTGCTTTGTAAAAGTAAATGCCATTTCCTAATTCATACCCACTGTGCTTTCTGGATTATCTATGCCTGCACAAGAGACAAAGACTCGTAAAAGACACTACTGGTGATGACTGGTGATAGCTACATCGAAGGCCTCCGAAGATTTAATCATCCAGGTCTTCTGACTTCATATCCAGGGGCGCTTTCTGCTCGATCACACTGTCAGACAAAAGGCTCCTGTGATATGGGGGAAAAAGCACTGGAGTGGGAACGAAAAGGTTGGAATCTTAGCTTGGCTACTTAGCACGTCTATAGGTGCTGGCTTACCCAAGCCCTCACCTCTCTCAGCCTACAGGAAACAATGGATGACCTCTAATGTACCTTCCAATTTTAAATCCTATGACCTTGGTGAATTTAGTAGGTACTTGTTAACCTGAAGACTTGCAGAGGTAGCTGAGATTTGATCTCTTTGTTGGACAGTCCCACTAAGAGTGCCACTTGACCACATCACTTTATAAAGTGATATTACTGTTTAGGGATTGTACAGCTTCGGTTTTAGCACCTCCAATGAGACTGAAACCATATACTTCCCAGAGAAGCCCATTCAATTTCTGGACATCTCTGGTTGGTAGAAAGTAATCTGCATCTCTGCAACTTCATGAGGCACTGTCTGATTCCTCCTGGTGAAGAAAGGTGCTCTGGAATTCACAGGTAATCAGCTGCATATAACTAGAGAAACTATAGTTGTTTTAAACCTAAAGGTTCTAGGTCACAAAATAAAAGCCTTGATCCTGCCCAAAACATGTTATTTGGTTTCTTCCCTACTTTCTTCAGGCTAGGGACTAGACTCCAGGAAAACCTAAGGTTACAATTTCTAGGAATAGCTAAAATTAACAGTTGCTCAATTATAAAATATAAAGCTAAGTGGGTATAAACTATATCAAGAAAGCATACGATTGGATAAGGAGATAGATAGTATAGTAAGATATCAAGATTTAGAGAAACAATCCAAGTACTGCACCATTACCCTGAAGGCAGAGGCAGGACTCTAGCATATTGGATAGGTAGGTCTTCAATGAAGGATGTATGGTGTTATACATAGATTGTACAATATGAAAAGGCATGGATGGGTTTCTAGCTGCACTGGTGAAGGAAGAGACCACACAGTGGAGAGAACGTGAGTCCCTTAAAGTAATAATGAGTAATGGGAAAAGGCAATGCTGTATCAATGTGACTTACTACTATATTTTGATAGTTGCTGTTACTCCCCCTCTTTGGTCATCAGTTTAAGGGTAAATTAGAACAGCTGTGTCAAGAACAAAAGGCAATTAGACTGCGGTTTTGTTGGGGTTTTTTTGTTTGTTTATTTGTTTTGGTGAGGCAATTGGGTAAGTGACTTGCCCAGAGTCACACAGGTGTAAGTTTTATGTGTCTGAGCCTGGATTTGAACTCAGGTCATCCTGACTCCAGGGCCAGCGGTCTATCCATTAAGCCACCTAGCTGCCCCTGGACTGTGGTTTTGATAGGCTTTCTGGAAAGCCTAACCCTAATTCTGAGCTCTGCAATGAAGGAATTTTGGACTCTCAGGTTTCTAGTGCTTCCTTCTGTTTCCCTAGAGGAGTTAAGATTGTGTTTATAAAACCTACTGCTTTTCCTACAGTCTTGGACAAGTGGTAATCAGTGTATAGATATGTATACTATCCTCTAGTAAGGAAAACGTTTTCCTTTTGAACTCCTGGAGCTATAAAGCGCTATTACCTTCCCTAACTTTTCTTCTCCCAGATAAATAGAACATCAAACTTGAGAGTCAAAAGATTTGGCTTCTAATTAGCCTCACACACTCACTGTTGTGACTAAGAGCAAATCTCAAGCTTGTTTCCTCATTTGTAAAATGCAGATGATGCTCTAACCTCCCTCATGGGACTGTCGTGAGGAAAACATTTTGCAAGCCACCTTCCAGCTTCTTTTCTCTCCTTCATCCTACACCAATGCAATTAACATTTATTAGCCACTTACCACCTATGTGCAAGGCCCTGGGATTACAAAGATGAAAAATGTCCTTGCCATGATGGAACTTAATTCTACTGGAAAGGAGAACAGATGACATCTACACCAATACACAGAATACAATTTAGTCTTAGACAGGGACAAAGCAGAAATCCAGAATTTGAGGGAGAGATCACTTTCAACTAGGTTTCATGGCAGAGGTGGTAGCAGAGATGAGGAAGGAGTGCATTCCAGGCATGCTCGCAGGTGCCATAGACTGAGGAATGGCTAAACAAACCGGTTAATGAGCATAATGGAATATTACAGTATGAGCTAAGAAAGAAGACAAATAGGAAGAATTCAAGAGAAACATGGGAAGATGTCAATGAAATGTGAACAGAATCAGGAAGACTATTTGCATGACCACAATGATACACATGAACATTAAGATGAAGTCAAACACGGCACAACTGTAATTATCCATTTGGCCCCAAGAAAGGACAGGGCTGGATTTTGTGATTTCACGGGCACAGGTAATTAACTTCTGGCTAAGGAAATTCCCTCCACCAATGCAGTCACCTCAAGCACTAAGAGGCTGAGTGTCAGGCTGGACTTGAACCCAGGTCCACTTAACTCCAGGCCAGCTTTCCAGCCACTGCTAAGCACTGCTTCTTACCTCAGAGATGTGTCGAGTTGGCTACTGCCTCAGATAGGGTTGCTGCATCACAAGACCACAGAATGGCTACATCACAGACACAGAGCTGAGATGAACACCAGAGGCAGTAAAGCCCAAGCCAAGCAGGGGAATGATGCAATTTGTAAAGAATGGGTTAGAGAAGAGACTGGAGACAAGAATACCAATTAGGAGACTATTAGAATAGTCCAGGAAATAAGTGATAAGCGCTTAATTGAGGGTGGTAGCAGCAGAAAGAGGAGTGGGAGAATGATGCAAGAAGTATTGTAGAAGTAGAAAGAACAGGATTTAGCAACTGACTAGATGAAGGGAAGCAAGGAGCCAAGAATGACTCTGAGATATCAAAAATGGGTAGCAGGATGGCAGTGTCTATAGAGAAGTCAGGAAAAGCGATGGTTGCAGGGGTGGGGGGTGGGAGGCAGATTAGAATTATTGGCGGGGGAAGGGGTGTAACCTACCAGGGGAGATTTCTCAGATGCACTTACAGGGAGGACGTGGAGCTGATAGAAACATGCTATATAGATTTGGAAATGATCTTCAAGTATAACCATGATAACTTAAATTAGAATTTTAGGGGACACCCACCCTTAGGATATGGGAGAACAATTAAAGAGCAAATGGTTGTCAAGGATTGGTCAGATAAGACAGGAAAACTCGGAAAACCAAGAAAACAGAATATCCAGATGGGAGTGAGCAACATTACACGATGGAGAGAGGTGAAGGAGGACAAAGGCTGAGAGATAACCATCTTACTTGATTACTCTGGAGGCCAACAGTGACCCTGGAGCAAGCAATGTCTATATTATATTGGGGACCTCAGTCACTACATGGTGTTTCAGAGTGAAATGGGTGGTATGGAATCACAGGCACCAAGTAAAGGTACTCTTTCTTGAAGATTGGCAATTACTGAAAGGACAAAGGAAAACAGCAAGGTCAAAAGGACTCTTGCCAAACAAGCTAAAGGCAGAATCTAAAACCTGTTTTATAATTATAATCTGTTGTCAGACAACATATGCTAAGTACTTAATGCTAGAGTCAGCCCCCTTCTTAGAACTGTAGCTTAGTTTCCCTTCAATTGGTATAGAAACTAAAAGGATTAGACAAAGCACTCAGTGGGTTAGTCCCATGGACATGGCATGCTGTGCTTATGCATTCATTAGATTTTTTTCCTATCTTTTAAAGGGTTTACTTCACAACTTCATAAAACTTCCTACTGAAGTAGGGATTAAAACCACAAGTAAATAATTTCAGATACTAGCAGGTACCTCCTGGGAGCCTGTTCCCCCAGAGTTCAAAAGAAAGGTCAATTTACAGTCCCTTAGGATATTAACTTCCAGTCCTCTAGTAGCAGGTTACCTTTCCTACAGTAACAGTGCATCAGAAGTGAAAGGCCTGGGCCAGGGGTAATTAATAAGGATAGGTACCCCACTAGGTTTACCAATAGAATACGCCCTGTAGACAAGCTCTGTTGCTATGTAAATACAGAGGAGCCACCAGCTCTCTAGGGTGGTCACATTAACAACCAGATGTCATGTAAAATGACATCATTCACAAAGCATGCAGTGGCTAAACTCTCCCAGAGAGGCAATAGGAAAAAAATGTTTATCTTCATCAAAATGTCTCAAATAACAACGTTGTGTTTTTTAATGAAACTTGTAAATTAATCACCAATTTGCTACCTCCTAAAACTACTGGAAGGCAATTGTCATTCCAGAAAAATATCCTGTGTGCAGAGTAACACAGGGTCAGGGGCTTTCAAATCCCACCAGACAAGAGCTCAATAAGATTTGAGATTTAAGGAATTACCTCACATGAGGGAAAGTGCAAGGCACCAGACTGGCACAGATTTGAACTAATTTGTGCATTAAAGTGGCAAGTCTCCAGGGAGGTCAGGCAGGAAGTGAGAAGGAAAATGATTGCAAAAGAATTTGGGGGAAAAAAAAGTTTAATCTTGAGCGACTACAAACAGTCACGTCCTAGAGACCCTCCACTAGTCCCAAAGCTCGTAATTGCTTGCAGAGTCACTGAAAGGCAAAGGTAAAGAGCTATAGCTGCTACCCTCCCTCAGGGTCCCTGTACCACGACCATGCCCCAGCTAGAGTTGATGCTTTCTGGAGACTTGTGCCAGGAAGCTTTTGTGGGTTTGAATCCCACCTCTAACATATACCTGCTATATGATCCTGGTGAAGTCATTTAATGTCAAATTCAGTTTCCTCATCTGTAAAACAGGGATAATACAAATACCAGTACTAGCTCAGAAAGTTGTTGTAAAGCTCAAAGGAGAATAAAAATTAAAGCACTACATAAATGCCAAGTTATTTGTATGGTGCAGCATGGCATAGAGACCTGGCCAGAAACTATAAGGCCTGGATTCAAGACCCACCTCTGACACACACCAGCTGTGTAATCCTAGGTAAGTTGTAAGTCACACAGAAGGTACCTACCTCAATTAATAGAGGGAGTTTCCTCACCGGTGAGAGTTTTCTATACCAATGAAATCTGAGGTCCTGTCCCTAGCCCACACGTCTCACTTGAAACATCTGACTGGGAGGGGTCAATATGGAGGCCATATTCTGCTAACAGACTCAACACCAATCCTTAGTTCAAGAAACCTCCTACACCACGAGGTCTAAGTTTGAGATTAAGTGGTGGCAGTGGCCATGCTGATCAGCCTCCGTGCCATCAAGGCAGGAAGAGATTTAATAACCTGGGATGATGTTTGTTTCTTCCTCTGAATGGTAGCCCTACTGGAACCAAGGATGAGATGAAAGTAAGCTGCTGTTTTTGGTTATTGTGAACTTCCCAAGAATGTTATTTTGCAAAGACTGTTTATGCAAAGTATTCCCACCCAAATCACCATTGCCAATGCAAGTGAAGTGTGACAGAAACAGACTGAATCCATTCTTATCTTCATTTTTTATTGATTCTGAGGCCAAAGAACAAGGACCAACATAAAACGATGAGGTATTATTATCCCTGATCACCTCTGGCCCTGGGATGAGCACTGCCTGGCCTGCAGGGCAGAACACTCTGTCCAGCATTAGACAGTACTATAATTAAATGCAACCAAGTTGCACACAAAGGAACACACACCAGGCAACAACATACCACCATCACCCACGCCTCTAGTCTTTGGGACCAATATGTGCACGAGGACTAACTTATCTCCCTTTGTCACCTGCACCTCATTACTGTCTGCTTCAAGGCTCTCGACAAGAAGCTTGGATGACAAGCTCCAAGAAATAGGTGCACAGGAGAAGGAAGCTTCTACCAGAGGGAGGTCTCAGGTTCCTAGCTCTAAAGCTTGGGAAGGAGTTCTAAAGGACTTTACTAAGTACAGTCCTTACTACCTTCAAAGGTGATTCATCTCTTCCCATAGAAGCTCCATGTTCCAAACAAAACTAAACTAAACTAAACCCTTCCACAAGCAACCAAACTGTACCACTGAGAGATCTCAGCCCACCCAGACTTAGGGAAAGTCCCCTCTGGTAGCCCAACTCCTGGAAATCAGGGTAAGTAAGAAGGGAAGGGAGTGTGTTTCCCATATGGGACACACATTGAGGCCACAGGGCTTGTGAGGTATATGAATCCTGGCAATCCAGCCACACGGTCAATATGTGAAAATGCCAGTGCTATCTGTGGGAGTTCCAAGACTAAAGTTTTCAGAAAACTACTATCACATAACACATCAACATGATGTGTGCATGTGTGTGAAAAAGGATCTGACTATTACCTGTCTTTATCAGAAAAGAATTAGATAATTCATGACTCAGGGTTGATTTAGACTTTTCACTGTCAGAGTTAAACACATTTACTTTCAAGTTGTCAAAGCAATTAGCAGTAAATGTTTTTTGAATTTCCATACCACGGCCCAGGATCAACCAATATTTTTATGAGTTAAATCTAAAATAAAGACGTAGGGCCTTATTTAAATGAATAAAGTTACTCCTCTTCACAAAAGGAATATGAACCCTCACTCATGAATTTGCTAATCTTTTTTCCCTGCTAAGACATTAGCCAGAGCTTATAACATACACACTTGTGTACATGTGAACATTGCACACCTATAAGTGTACAAATGTTATAAGTAGAGGAGTGTGAGAAACTTTACAGTCAACCTTTACTCAACAGCAACTGAAAACACCGCCAGTGCAAAGTGTTGGACTAAGCACAATCCCAACTGTTAATTCTGACCCATCAGGAAGAAAGTCTCCACTTGCAGCAGAAACTAACCAGGCCAAGAGGAATCAGCTGGGACATCTCAGAAATTACAAATGCAGCCAGATTATCTCAGCCTCTGAACATATGAACACCTGACATTTCAATTTGAGACCAATTATTCTGGATAAATAATCCCAATTTAAAAAAAAAAAAAAGGCACATAACCCTCTCCCCCCTACCCCCCAACTCCAGAGGCAGTAAGTAATAAACCCAAGTCCTGTAGAAAAAGTTTGGATTTGATCAAAGGAAAACTTTTAAAATCTAGAATCCTTCCCCACTCTACCTTCCCTCCCCGCCTCCCCCAACTGAGAACTCTGGCCCTCAGCCCCCAAAACTTGGAGACCATTAATACACAGATTTGATTTAGATTTAGTATTAATGGCCTCTGAGTTGGGGGGGGGCAGGGCAAAGCTGAGGGCTAGAGTTATCAGTGAGGGAGAGGGAAGAGGGAAGGTGGGATGGGGAAGGATTCTAGGTTTTAAAATACCTTTCCTCTGACCAAATCCAAACTTAAGAGACTGACTTAGGAGACTGAAGATGTGACCCATTTCTTCTACAGGACTCTGGCTTATTACTGTCTGGCTCCAAGGGGAGAAGGTTAAATGTTCTTTCTAGACTTAACATCTCTATCTCCTCACCACATGCCCTCCCCTTCCTGCTAAACATTTTTTTCTTACCAGTATGGTCTCCCCAACATTGACCATTTTTCTCTACCATCATTCCACAGACTCCCCCCTAAGCCTGTCAGATGTCAATACAGGGGTTTGGAGTTTTCAATCCACAAGAGGACTGCCATGTGAGGAAACTGAGTTCCAGACTGTAGACTTTCCCACCTTCAGGAGGTTCTGCTGTCTTATTTCCTGGATATGCAGTCACCTGGGCCTTGCTGACCCGTGTGCAGCTGGTTTTCCTGCCCTTAGAGGAAGAAGCCTCTGGCCCCTAGTCAGATTTTCTTTCAGTTCTCCTGTCTTCACTTAAGTCCAGCTCAGTCAGGACACAGCGGCAGAGTAATTGTGTGGCCTTAGTGATAGAAGCTAAATAGAAAAAGACAAAGACAACATCCTCACAAACTAGCTCCAAAATGAACACTGTTGAATCAGTCTTCCTAAGAACAATTCCAGGGATTCCTCACCTAGAGCCCCTGATCAGCAGGGCTGACCTGAGGCAACCCTGTAACATGATTCTCTGCCCACCTGCCTTTTTGTATTCTGGAGTATCTGGTTGGTTGGCTGGCTACTTTGGTGGCCAATGCCTGTTTGCTCCTCATCACCTTCTACTACTACTCTGCACCCTTCCTTCCCCGCCTTTCTCCAACCTACCAAAAGAACTTACCTCCATGTCCTTTCCTCAGAATGTCCTTGCTAAGAGTGCCTTTCCAAACAACTAGCTAATCTGAAAAACTAACCTGTGCTTCCCTCACCCTCCCAGGTAATTTGCAACTTTAATAGAGGGCTCTTGGAGAAGACTAAAGCAATGACTAACAGTGGGAATTTCAGAAGCCCTGGGAAACAAAGCTTGTTGCATGCCTCACATAGTAATTGGCTACTCTTTCGAGCACCTACCATGTTGGGCCAGCTATGGAATTCACTCTCTCTCCCCTATCTCATTCCACCCCACACAAACCCCAAGTAGGAGAGATACTCACCCAGAATCTTCCCAATGAAGAGTGGTTTCTTGGATGCAGGCAAGTAGATACCCACAAAGTAGACTGGGATCCCAGAAAAAGCAATTGCAACGCCAATCAGGGAATTGATAGTGTCACTGTAAAGGGGTACAACCAAGAGGAAAACACAGCATGCGCAGAAAACAATAGGGAAAAACAGGCTCAGCTAGAAGAGAAAAGAGAATGAAGAATGTGAATATTAAATACTTGGACCTAAGGATCATAAGATCCTACATGCAGAGCCCGGCCCATCCCTCCTTCCAGTGCCACCCCTACCTCCAGCTTCCTAACCATAGCTTAAGCCAAGAGGGATAAGAGTCTTTACTTGTAACCCATTAGATACGAAGATATGGCTGGAATATCTCACATGAGGACAAACCAGGATGTGCTATGACCAGGGTACTTGTTAATGGGACCTAAGTTCTTGGGTTCGGAAGCCTCTTGAACAAACAAAACCAGTTCCCTCTCCTCTATCCTCTGCCTTTCCCTGCAGCCAACAGGAATAAACTCACCTTGAGGGGTCTAGGCCTCTCTGGCTCCTTTAACCGGAGGTAGAGCTGCCCTATGACTGATAAGCCCACAAAGAACCAGTAACTGAAGCTAAAGTAGTTGATAAGCTGGAAGACATCCTTCACAATGAGGTAGATGATGGTCATGGTGCACTATAAAGAAAAGGATTTCATGTTGCATAAGAAAGGCCATAACAAGAGATCTTGATATATGACATTCACTATTTCATATCAACAGCACCTTACATGTGCACAGTGCTTTATGGATACAAAACACTTTCATATTTTTTACATAAATTCTCCAATCTGAGCCTCCACAACCCTGTGATAGTAAATAGGTCAGTTATTATCTATTCCTATACTCTTAATAGCTGGGACAGCTAGGTGGCACAGTGGATAGAGTGCCAGGCCTGAACTCAGGAAAACCTGAGTTCAAATCTGGCCTCAGACACTTGCAAGCTGTGTAACCCTGAGCAAGTCACCTAACCCAATTTGCCTCAGTTTTCTCATCCGTAAAATGAGTTGGGGAAGGAAAAGGACAAACCACTCCAGTGTCTTTGCCAAGAAAACCCCAAACGGAGTCACAAAAAGTCAGACAAGACTGAAATAACTGAACAACAAAAATACTCTTAACAGTAAGTCACATTTATGTATCACTTTAAGGTTTACAGTACATTTGCCTCACAATCACTTTTTCGAGTGACCAGTCCAATTATCATACCCATTTTACAGACAAGGAAACTGGGAATTATGGTTTAGGATGCAAATGGTAACATGGGAAGTAAGTGATGGTATCAAGACTGGAACCTGAGTATTCTGACTCCTAAATGATGTTCCTCCTCCACTACACTGCACTACACTGCCCAAGGTGGCCCATCCTCTATACTACCTGACATTCTCCCCAAACTCCTTTACTATCCCATCCTCTCTACGCTCTGTAAGGTTCCTGGCTCCTTTTTCCTCACTTAACCTCTTTCCTTTCCTGAACAAAATCAGGGCCACTGCTCCAACAACATGTTCTCGACGATTCTAATGCCCCTGACACCAACTTCTTCAATATCACTACTCTGTTCCCCTTTAGGACTGTGGCCCCATTACCCCCAGAAAGCAACTATTGTAGTGACTAGGCTCCAAACCTTTCCTCCCCATAAACCCCCTTCCCTTCTAGTACAAGAGAGCTCACATTGAAAAGCAACGCTGGAACAGGTGTGAAGCGTTCAATGTGAATCATGGATAGAAGATAGGGGAGATGACCTTCTCGAGAACCCACAAAGAACAACCTAGAACAGTAAGAGTTAGATTAAGTAGGACTTACCCACATCCAACACTCATTTAGCCCTGATACATGTATACACACAGACACACATCTACTTGTCTATATATCTGTATCTTTCTACATACACATACACACACACACACACACACACACACACACACACAACATTATCCAAATCCTAAGCCTTATATTATACAGGCTGAGTGAATGGCAGCCAGACTTCCAAGATGGAGGGAGGCTCCATTAATACAGCCAAAGGGATGGCCAGAGTTCCAGTTCAAAGTCTGCATCCCTTAGCCCCAGTGATAACCATTAAGATGGTGCTTGCTCATATAAATACCCTTGCCTTCAGTCAGTAGGATAAGATAACAACAGATACTTTCACCATATATACCCCTAGGATGGAGAAGTACAGAGGGACAAGGACTTTAAATAAAGCTCACTTCACAGGCTAGCAAAGCCAGCCAGTTTGTGCTATCTGCCATTAACATACATGAGACACAAACTAGGCAGCATGAGCTTTATTACCTCGATGACGCAAAGATGGATGCATTGAGGCCTCCAAAGCAGGAAAAGGCAACAGCAATAGGAATTGTCCAGCTAAATATGCCAAACACCTTGTCAGCAAATGTCTGGTAAAGAAGAAAAGAAAGAAAGTGAACACAAAGACTAGAGCATCTCACAAAGAGCTAAAGTGGGATGAGCATCATATGGCCTATGCTAGAGACTGATCTCTGCTCCCAGATCAGATGATGGCTTCCACAGAGCAATTCACTGTGCCAACAATAGGGGCAGAGATAGAAGGAGGTCACACAGCCCGATCTTACGCTGTTTGTGGCTGGTCCAACCATCAGGGAAAGGCAGAATATAGTGAAGAGGAATGAATTTTGTGACACTATTTCCAAGACAGTCTCAGAATACAAATGGGACTAAGACCAGGGGCTCACCACAGCCACAGCATCACTTCCTAGCACAGCCTGGATATCCAACACGGTATAGTAGGCCACATTGGTCAGGATATAGATGAGTGTCACAATAGGCATAGATATTCCAATAGCCAGAGGCAAGTTCCTGTTAAGAAAAATGTCAATCATTTACTAGGACCCTGTACGTCCTTCTTTCAGGCCAACAACATTAACCGAGTCTCCTTTTGGGAAAGCATTTTATGCAACTGTGCTACTAGCCCTTAATCTCCTTAATGTGTTACCCCCAGCATCTTTTCATTCCACAACTAGGTGAGATACCAGTCACAGCATCTTAGATTTAGAGTTGGGATTCAGTCTGATATTTTACAGATATGGAAATTGAGGATTAAATGATTGACACACGCTCATATAGGTACTAAATAACAAATCAGGAGCCATACCCAAATCCTCTGACCCCTAAATCCACTATACCATGCTGTGTCCTCAAACGATCCACTCAGACATGTTTTTTTTCTTTAAAGGCATCACAAGAACATCATTTCAAGTCTTTCAGTCAGTGAAAAATGATTGTCTAAGAATGTAGCTACCATTGGAGTCTTCATGGAAGGGTTATAAAGAAACCTAGCTGGCACACTGGGGAGCCAACGTCTCTACCCCTTTAGCACACTTAGCCCAGGTCTGGGACAGTAATACTTGGCCTGACTGGCTTAGACTTCTCTTCAGGTTATAGGCCTATAGTCAGACCAGGGTTTAGATTTGACTACCAAGGTCACACTTCCTCTAGGTAGGACACTGGCACTCTAGTGATATGTATTTGATAAGGTGAAGTCATGACCTTCCCTCCCAACAAACTCTCTCCTCCTTTCCCTCTCTCCTTCTCCTGCTCAAAGTAATAGAAGGTAAAAGGAAGAGGATGGAGAAATGAAAGGAAAGAAAAGGCAAAGGTAAAAGGTACAGAAGTTGGAGATGTGAGGAAAGATAATAATTTATGTAAAGATACCCAACAACAACAGGATTTGCAACATAAATTAGTCTGGTAGTGCATTATGATCTCAACTTTACCTTTCTGGGTTTTTTATTTCCTCTGTTACAAAATTAAGGGTGTCCCAACCGGAGTAAGAGAAGAGGGCAGAATACAGGGCGAGAGAGAGGTTTCCCACATCCCAGGAAGTGCCTTGAAATGCATCCTGAAAGTGCTCAGAATGGCCTGCAAAGGGGAAGGGGGAGGTTTGGGAGGGGGAGAAGAAAAGCAGAGCAGAGAGACAACAAAATAGAAACACACAGAATGAAAGAGAAACAGCAAGAATGACCAAAAAGATTGGGTGGGGGGTTTAAGGGAAGAAAAGAGGGGAAGAGAAAAAAAATAAACAAAATTTTAGTGTAAACAAAACCAGAACTCCTGCCCCATTCACTTCTGACCCCAGAACATTCAGTGCTCCCTCAACTAAAACAAAGCAGCCCAGCTAAGTAAAAGTATAGGCATTTCTGGCTACCTTTTATCTAACATCCTTTTAAAACCCCAATTACCACTTCTGCCAAAAGCCCAAAGTAATGATATCTGAACGCTTTTTTTTTTTACAATAAGAATACAAAGAGTTTCCCTTTAGACATACCGAGAATAATTTTCATCATACCCAGTAGTATCTCTTGACATCATAAACCTTAGCTTGGAAACACTGAACAATTTGCCTAAACGAGTTTATCAGACCCATGAATAAGATTCCCACTATTCTGTTTTTTTCAATTATAACTGTCCTATGTTAAGAAATCACAGGCTGTGCCAACCATGAAGCCTTCTTATCTTTACCCACAGCCTAGACTAGCACTAAGATAATCATTAGAGCTTTCAACTCAAAACAGTCACCACCCTCTGTCCTTGGATTTTATTCTTAGGAATAGCACAGGCTGGGAAACATGTAGATTTTCTCCCAGACTTAGGGGAACAATGGGCCCAGTTAACCCTGTGTTCAGTATCTGATGGCCCCAACAGTCCAGATCCCTTAGGGCAGGGCTAAATCTGAACATGATGGGAAATGACTTATTGCATCAAGGCTATAAAGTAATCCCACCCAATAGATCAACACACTCAGAATAAACAAGGAACCTTTAAAGAGGTACAAACCCCTCATTTTTCATATGAGGAAACCAAGGCCCAGAAAGGTTAAATTTCTTGGGCAAGATTACATAAGTAATAACAGAACTTGGAATACCAAAATCATTGCTCCTTTCAATATACCACACTGCCCCCTGGACCTGCAAATAAAAAGCACTAGGAAATCACTGTTAGCCTCCCACATCAAGCATAGCCCCCCTGGCTCTCAAAACTTTTGGCTATGCCATCTCAGAGCCCAGCAATGAGAAACCCCAAACTCCACTCTCTCTTTGATGTCAGCAGCCACCTATCTGGTAGAATTTGAAGAGTAATAAGCAGGCTTCTCTGCCCCCAAATAATCTTCCTTATTACTTGTTATAATATCTGAGATTCCATGTCTGTAAACTCTTTTTAAGTATTAAAGATTTTTGATCTCTAAGAGTCCAAAATCCTCTGAAAAGGGAGAACACCTTTAAGCTCTTATTAGCTAGCAGCTTAGTAGGTATCCATGAAATTTAGAAAAGATCAAGGAATAGAGCAGGATTGATCCTAGATAAGAGGAGAAGAATTTTGAGATGCAGCAAGGCTTCACAAGTTTACAAGTTGGCCTACTAAGCAAGGCCCGACTAGAGAAGGACACAGTCAAATAAAGGTTGTAAAACTGGCTCCCTACCCCACTGCTCCATGCCCATCTCCAGCAAAGCATTTTCTACTGAGCCCTATACCAACTGCAATATGACTCACTATTTCCCAGCATAGCTCTAGGCTCCTGTATTTTAAGAGATCCCAGAGACTAGACAGTGTCCAAAGCTCATCCTCAATGGGAGAGTAGTCCTGGAGGAGAAAGGGGTACAACCTCATCCCCAGCTGACCTTGGCCAGCCTATCAATGGACCCAGTATCTTGCCAATCCCTAAAACTATGCTCCAAGGAGTATCAAAATCACATAACATGAAACACTATCTCAATAGTGAGATGAAACAGGTAAACCCAGGTCCTTTCAGATATGCCAGAGAAGCTGGCAGGATGGCTAAACTGAATATCCTCTCTCCCTCCCAGGACCAACTTACCCTGGCACAGTTTTATAAGGCCTGTGACGATGATAGCAATAAGGGCAAGAACCTTGGCATAGGTGAACACATCCTGTACACGCGTCCCCCACTTCACATATGCACAGTTCACAAATGTCAGCAGACCTAGGAGAGAAAATCCACGTGGGGCAGCAGGTCACAGGCAAGCTTGGGCAGAGAATTCCTAGCCCCCTGGGCCAACAGCCATCAGTAATGTTCCATTTCTGTCCCCAACTGCTACTTAGTGACATGGTAATACAGCTCAGATACAGGACTTAGCATTATTACAGATCAAACTTAAGACACTAGATAACTGGATCAATGAAAGAAAGCCACCCCACCCAGGTCCAAATACACCCGTGAAGACCACACCAGCACTTGCCTTTCACCTAAGAAATACAGGTGTGAACCACATCACTACCCCTTCTCAACTAGAGAATTCCCTCCATTAAATAACTCCCTTTACCTGCCCATTTCCCCACTCAAATAATGCTGATGCAACTACCCTCCTCTCTCCACAAGGAAAGGTCTCAGACAGGAACAAGGTTAATGGCCAAATTAAGAGATGATTAATGTGAGATGCTGGGCCTAACAGACTCCTGGGACACCTGCCCACCTCCCTCCCTTCCCACAATTACCCTACCCAACTTCCATGCTATCCATTCTTCCTTCCTACTAGCTTGAGAAGTCCATCAATGAAGCAAGTGGATAGAGTTCAATGGGGAGGGGGCAGGAAGGAAGGAAACTACTTGAATTTGGTGGGGAAGGTAGTGACCCAAAAATTAGAGACAGGAACCGAGTAGACTGTCTTATAAATAGCAAGAATTATTTGTTGGTTTACTGACAACCTCAACAACACTTAGATAAATGCAACCCCTCTTCCCTTTCCCTCCATCCTACTGAATCCTGTCCTCCTCTACCATCACATATTTCTTTGAGCCTCAGTTTACTCACCTGTAAGATAAGGAAGGAGGTGGACTAAATCACCTCTAATGTCCCTTCCAGTTCTAAATCTATAAACTCTAACTTTCCAGTTATCATTGAGACCAATGGGGAAAGAGACTTTTCCTTAGCTTAATTTCAAGACCTCTGATTTTCAAAACAACTCTCACTCACTACAACCATTGTATATCTGCATTGAACAGGAGTTAGAAGTAGGTACTATCCTCAGGATCCAAGAATTTCTTCCCTTTCTAAACAAGAAGCTGTGCCAAGGGCAAGGAAAAAAAGGACAAGGGCATCAGAAGACATGCCATTACCTAGGTCAGAAGAAAACATAGTGATCTTTATATCCACTACACCAGGGATGGGGAATCTGCAGCCTCAAGGCCACAGCCTTTTGGGATTTGTCCTGTGAAGTCCAGTCAAAGGGCCACAGGTTCCCCATTCCTGCACTACATCAAACACTAAAGTTGCTTTTTCTCAATAAACCTGAAAAGCTACTACTACAAAATATCCTGGCTCCATCTTCCCTTTCCAGATTTTTCCCTCAGTCCTTCCAAGACCAGCATCCACAGTGTGCGTATATGCCTTGCTCATTACTCCATCAGAAAGATCATCTTTCATCTTCTCCACATATCCAAGTCCTACCCCCACCCCAGAAGTCTTTTTCACCTGTGCTAGCACATTAACCTCTCCTTTTAACTGCATTTATCATCAGATAATACTGATTACTTTATTAATAAATAAGATTAATACCGATACTTTACCTAAGACTTTCTCTAGCCTCATTATCTTCTGCTTCATATTGCTTCTTATTGTTCAGAAAAGGTGTCGTCTTTTCTTTCTGTCACGAGTTTTACACAGTGCTGGACACTAAGAAGGCTCAATAAATACTTTCTGAATTGAACCAAATAGAAATATTCCTTTCTTCCTTCAAAGCAATTACAGTTGGAACTTTAGTCTCTAATTTCTCAAGCAGCAGGGGATAAAAAAGCAAGAGCAACTGTCAGAAAGCCAGTCCTTCCACGTCATATGGCAACAAAGATCTTCAGACCAGTTCACGGACTAATATTAACAAACCAGGAGACAGGCAGCCTCTGGTCATCCGTCAAAGACTTCACTTCATCAAAAGCAAAACAAAAACAAAGTTTTCACAAATGACTAGACAACAAGGTGGGGCAAGGATAAGGCAGTAGAGGACAGAAAAGGTCCAAAAGAATGTATGTTACCTACCAGAAATCAAGAAACTGCTTCAACTGGCAATTATGACTATCTATATTAGAACTAGGACTGGTAAGTGTAAGAATTGACTAATCGTAGGACAGATGAAGACCCAAACGCTGATATAAGTAAGCAAAAGCTGGTCCCAGCTCTGACACTATTACCCAACCCTACCTCCTCATCTATCTCCCCACTCCTGATTGCCACATCTCCAACCCATTCGATCCACTGCTTTCCACCCTCTAGTAAGACTAATCTGAATCAATTAACAAGCATTTATCAAACACCAAGAACAAAAATGAAACAATCCTGGCTTTCAAAGAGCTTTCATTCCTACTGGCAGAGACATGTATAATGTGTTTGTACGTGCATGTTTGTTTGTGTGTGTGTGTGTGTGTGTGAGTGTGTGTGTGTGAATGTATATACAGACTGAAAACAGTAAATACAAGATAGTTCAGAGAGAAAGAGTGATAACAGTTAGGTGGAGGGCAGGAAGAGTGGAGGGAAGAATCAGGAAAGGCCCCAAGTAGAAAGTAGTGTTTGAGCTGAACCTAAAAGTAAAGAGGTAGTCCATTCCAAGCATGGGAGATGGTCACTACAAAGACCTGCAGACAGAAGGTGGAGAGTTATGTGTGAAGAACATCAAGAAGGCCAGTTTGGCTAACTGTAGTGTACAGAAGGGAGTAATTCATACCTAGTATGGAAAGGTAGGTTGGGGCCAGGTTGTGAAGGGCTCGAAAAGCCAAGCACAGGAGTGTATATATTTGATCCCATGGACATTAGGGAGTCACTAGAGCCTACTGAGGAGGGAAGTGACATGTTCAGACATTCGTTTAAAGAAATTTGCTTTTGCAACTGTGTGAAAGATGAATTAGAATAGAGAGCTGAGACCACAAGATCAAATACGGAGGCCATTGTAAGAAAGGTGATGAGAATCTTGACTAAGTGGTGGCTGTCTGAGAAGTGATAAAGGGACAAATGTGAGATATGGAGGTAGAAAGGGAAGATCTGGCAATGGATCAGAAAAAGTGAAGTTGAGGGCAGCTAGATGGTGAAGTGAATAGAGCACAGGCCCTCGATTCAGGAAGACCTGAGTTCAAATCTGGCCTCAAACACTTGACACTTACTAGCTGTGTGACGCTGGGCAAGTCACTTCACCCCACAGCCTCGCCCAAAAAAAAAAAAGTGAAGTTATTTCAAAGACTATAGTTAAAGATAACCCTGAAGTTACAAACTAGGGAGAACAGCAGGCTGATCATGCCCTTAACACAAGTAAGAAAGTTAAGAGAGGCTGGGTTTAGGGAAAAAAGAAAATGAGTTTGTTTTGGACATGATTGAGTCCGACAAGTTTATGGAAAACCTAGTTTAAAATGTGCACTAGACAGAGTGATATAGGACAGAAGTTCAGGAGTGAGATCAGGGATGGATATACAGATCGAGGAGTCAAATGCAGAGATAATAATTAAACCCATGTCTGAGTTGATGAGATTGTCAAGAGAAACAGTATATAGAGAAAAAAATAGAGTTTTCAGGTATACTCCTATTTAGGATACATGACAAAAATGTTGGAACCATGGAAGAGTACTATCATGAAAACTCAGAACAGAGAGAGTATTCAGAAGAAATGGTCAACAGTGTTAGATAAAGCAGGGAGGTCAATAAGGATGAGAGTGAGAAAAGCCCATCAGGTTTAGCAATTAAGAGACTGTTTGGCAATTGGAAACAGCAGCTTCAGTTAGTGACGAAAACAGAAGCCAAACTTTGACAAAAGAGCTGACAAGAGAATGAAATAAGAGAAAATGGAAGCAACAGGTAAAGACAGCTTTTTTCTGAGAGGTTGTTTCCTGAGATTTTGAGAAAGGAGAGTTGAAAAATATAAGACAATTTGGGGGGATGGTAAGGAAAAGTTTTTTTTAAAGGATGAGAAGATTTGCAAATGTTTACAGGCAGCAATGAAGTAATCAGCAAAAAGAGCTTGCCTAGGCTAGAGGATGGAAGGGAAGACAATTGAGGGAGCATTCTGCTAGAAAAGACAGGAGGGAACTGAATGAATGTACACATAGAAGGGTTGGCATTGAAGACAGCACCACATCATTATCAGAGACTAAAAAAAAAAAGATAGAAGATGATGGCAAGGGATTTTGTGGTGATGATTTAGGAGGGTTTGTAAAGCATATGGAGAGAGAAAATGATATAAAGCTATGATTAGATAAAGGAAGTCAAGTCACTTAAGTAAGGCCCATAGTTCCTTTCACTCTGTATACAAAAGGCAAGACTCTTGAGTATTTGATTACAGTTATTGCTTTCAGAAGCACCTTCTTGGATCTATATTCCTAAAAGATTCCAAACCTATTGCCTAAAATGGCACATCTCATCAAGAGCATAATTGTACCACGCACAGGGCTAATTAATTGCTGGGGATAGAGCACCAGTCCTGAAGCCAGGAGGACCTGAGTTCAAATCCACCCTCAGACCAAACACCTGACACTTACTAGCTGTGTGACCCTGGGCAAGTCACTTAACCCGAACTGCCTAAAAATAAAAATATTTTTTTTAAATAGTGCCTAACTCTGGTCATATTACAATAAAAATTGCAATAAATAAGTTGTTCCCCTGAATAATAGTCCTTGAAGCACAGGTTCCAAAGCAAAAAGGCCATTAGGGTCAGTCCCCCAGAAAGCTCTGAAAAACTTCTTTCAATCCTTCCAATCTTCTATCCTCTCCGAGTTCTTAACTAACACTCTCCTTTTTGGCCAGGGCTCTCCAGTAGGGTCTTCATCTTACAGGCCAATGCATGCCTAAAATACTTACCGAACAAAGAACAGTCATAATAATAACCATTGACATTTTTATAGTACTTTAAAGCTTGCATCTGATGCTCAGGACACCTGTGTGAGGTAAGTATTGTTTCCATCTCCATTTTGACAGAAGAGGACACTGAAGTTCTGAGAGGCAAGTGGGTG